ATTTTATTAAAATTTATATATATATATATATATATATATATATATATATATATATATATATGCATGGTGCTCCGTGGTTGTGCTACATAGATATGCATAAGAGAAACAACAACTTCAGCATTAAATAGTACCTCCACTTCCTTAGGTTCTGAAAATTTTTCTTGAGCCACTAGTGGAACACCACTTTTATCCTGCGATATCAAAATCGAGCATTTTGAAAATGAATAAATTCACACATCATAAGACTACAATTATTTTTGCTTCAATATTAAATACATTTTACCCCATCAATATATAGCCATTCCTCAATGTCAATGTAATTTAATTTTAAGCGAAAGTATTCATTTTTAGCCAAATTAAATACTAGCTAGAGTCCAAATACCTAAAACTAAACTTATAGATGGTCAAGTGATGAAGAAACAAGAACCGGGAGAGTTCAATAAAAGGACGACTTGTTTTTTGTATAACATAAAACCTAAATGTGAACATTTTGTTAAATATGATATATAAACACCATCAACCCTTAATTATAGCAACAGATAGTATTTAAAGTCAACAAAGAAAACACTGTGAACTACAATAACATTGCATAGAGTTAGACAAAGTGGTTACCGTGTGAGCACGCAAATCATAAGCAGATCTATCAGCAATTCCAACACACTCAATCCATCCATAGGAGCATTCAATCTCCGCATCCCAACAGTCAGCAGCATAGTGGGCCATCTCATTTGCAAGATGTTGCCTAAACCTCAATCGGTCCTTGTCTATACCAAGACGAGTCAAGAAAAGATACACTCTCCCAATGAAATAACCGAGAGTCTCGTTATTGACAATTCCCTGATGAGAACAAGCCATAAAAAAGCGGAACAAGAACAGAAGCTCAAAAACCACCATGATAACTTCAAACATGAAACCAAACCAACCTTGGAAACAGCATCACGAAGAGGAATCTTCTTGGCAGACTCTCCAGACATTTGCTGCTCCCTTGGGAACATCAAGAACTCCAAGTCCGCAACCTCATCGTACTTAGGATGAGACTTGTCTTGAGGGTCAACAAAGTGCTCAATCTCAGCCAATGTAAATTCGCGAACTCTGAGAAGCCCTTGCCGTGGAGATATCTACACACACAAAACCATATAAACCCTAATTCATTCCAAATCCCATAAGAGTAAAGAATTTCACATTGCCACCTGTCGTGCAATTACAAGCATTCTTATTATTAAAAATCACGGCTTTCAACGGTTAGCAGCTTATGTTATGCTGAGATAAAATTTTCCATCAGCAGTTACAAAAAAATAAAGAGTGAGATCAATTTCCCATACACTAGAACTAGTTTCTTGAAAAACCTTATTTATCTTAACTTTCACATTTTCTCCTCTTGTGGAGTAGGGTGGAAAACCTTATCCAAAAGTGCCTTAATGTTTAATTTAGAAAGTATCAAAATTAAACTCTTAAATCAACACAAACCAAGTTCGACAAAGCAACAGCAACTTCAAAACACCCTCACCTCATTCCTAAACGCCTGACCAATCTGTGCCGCGGCAAAAGGCAGTTTGTTCCCATTGTAATAATACAAATCCTTGAAGTTCACGAAGATTCCCTGCGCAGTCTCAGGTCTCATGAACCCAGGGCTCAACCCAGAGGGGCCAATGGAAGTCTGAAACATCAAATTGAAAGGGTAAGGGGCAGAGAGCGCGTTCTTAGTCTCAGGAGCAACAATCTCATATTCCTTAATCTTAGCGCCAAGCTCCTCTGCAGAGAGATCATCCAACGTGGCAAGCACATGCTTCAGCTCCGAAACCTTGTCAGAGGACAAGGCGAGATCACGCTGAAGCTTCTCGTTGCAGAAATCTTTGAGCAAGTGATCGGCGCGGTAGCACGTGCCGGTCTTCTCGTCCTTTACCATAAGATCGGTGAACTTGTCCACGTGTCCCGAGGCTTTGAGAACGACTTCGGGAGTGACGCATGGGCAATCCACCTCGAGCATGTTCTCTTCCAGAACGAAGTGCTGCCGCCAGAATGAGAGGACGTTGGATTTCACGGCGCAGCCGGGAGGACCATAGTCGAAGAGGCCGGCAACACCGCGGTAGATCTTGAACGACGGGATGTAGAACAAACGCCGCTCCAGGGTGTTCACCACAGCCTGCCTGAACGCCTCGCGGGTGTCGGAACCGCCGATGAGGGAGCGTTCGATGGACGTTTTCTCCAGCTTGAGCGCATTTAGGGCTTCGATGGCAGCGTCAATTTCCGTCTTGGGGGCGCCCGCGGCCTTGAGAGCGCGGACGGTGTTGCCCTGAGCCTCGACGGCGGCGTGCTTGTCGGCAAGGGATTTGCGGAGGGAGTCATCGGTGGCGGCCATGGTAGAAGATGACAGAGAGAAGGCGAATGTGAAAGTGGATGGAATTGGAAGTTGAGAAGATATTTTAGGTGAAGAAGATATTGCTATTGCTATCGCTCTCACTCTAACTCTCACTAAATGCTTAAGCATACCATTTCGCAGGGACCAAAGAGAGTGTTCACTGGGGTGGGGGAATACCACTGAACACAATAGGGTAACAATGGCTAAGTCTTTTTTGGTGTCTAATCAGACTGGGCCGGTTGGACTTCTTGTTTCAATAATGTATTTGGGGATTTTGCTTTCTGCACCTCCATATTAAATCATTAACTTATTCTGAAAAAAATTGATTTGGAAGGTATATAATCTACATTCTGAAAATTTTGATCTAGAATTTTAGTTATGTTAAAAATATTTCAAAGTGAATTTTTTATTTTTTGAAAATTTCATTCTAGAATTTCGAGATCATGTTCGAGACTATATTCTGAATTAATGTATTTTGAATTACATAGTTTAATTTATACAACCTAATATATGTTTTCAGATTTCATAATTTAAATTTCAAGTTATACGTTTCCAAATTATGTGATTTAAATTTATAATATATTTTTAGATTACGTAATTTAAAAGCATATTCAGGATTAATTATTTAATTCAGAAATTTATAAATAGATATAAAATTCATAATATAGTTTTGAATTAAAAAAATTATTGTAGATTTTAGAGAACAGTATATATTTTAAGGTTTTATGATCTAAAAATCTAAATTATAATAATTTAGACTTTTTTTAATATCTGGAAAAAATATAGACGAAGAAAGCATGGAAATGGAAGAAGAAATGACTATAGTTTGTGACAGCATCATAAGATTCAGCCTTGTGATGCTTTATGGATCAAATAATGTTAGTCAATTGTGAAATAAGCAAATTCTGAACATTCTACTATAGAAATGTATGTTCCTTTTTCTTCATCCTCTCAGTCAAATTCTTTAATAGAAATTGATAAATTCAGTTGATATTTGATATCGAGAATTCGGTGATATAAAAATTTATTACAACAGGTAGCATGTTATTTGTATAAACATTAGTACAGATTTATTTGTTGTTAAAGTACATTATATATCCTAGTTTTTACTCGTGAGCAAGCTAGGTTATTGGTGGAGCATAGATCTTTTATTTTATTATTGTAACATGGAGCATAGCAATGATGCAATTTATTGAAAGTTATAGCACCAGCTATCTTATTTATTATTTCAAATTAATAAAGATAAATCGCTCACGAGACAAAGACGTTCATTAAAAATAGAGACAAAAATATATTAAGCAATTTAAATTAATAATATTAATAATAAATGTATTTTTATTTTTTCACAACAGGTACGTGTTTCATTCTCTTTTTATTTTGTATCCTATCCAAAAAAAATGCACAAGGAATATTTTGAAAATAAAACAAAAATATCTTTTTGTCGAATTAGTCTAATTTTACAAAAACTCGGCAGAATTTAAAGACATGTCATAAAATAAAATATTAGCCTGGAACATATATAAAGTTTCAAGATAATTGAATTTGTTTGCTATAAAAGAAAGTTTGGTTAGTTAGCTCGATTGGGCCCTGCAAGAGATTCCGGAGCATAAAGAAAGAGGCATTAAATGCAAAAATGAATCTTAAAATTCATATACCCGCAACAATAAAAAATTTATAAATGACTAAACCACCAAGCCACATTCATCTCATCAATAAAACACATATAGAACCACTGAAACATTGTAAATCCCAAGCGCAACTCGCACTTGAAATTATGAAATTCATTAATACAATCCTACTATGGCACGCCACATTGGATCTATATTAATTTAGGGTAATACATATCCCATCAACTACACATCACTACTGTCATGGCCTATTCACCTGGTTGCTTGGTTGTCTCCTTGATCTCATCCCCAGCATCGTCCTGAATATTAAATTAAAGGCAATTCAAGTGAAAAACTCGAAACATATACAATCTCAAACGGATGAGAAAAGAGGCAACTTAAAACTACTCCCTATATATCTAAACAAGCTATCAACAGCAACAGAAAGATAGTCAGCGCAATATATTTTAACTGTTAGTCATTATTTGAGTTGAGGATAACATTTAACTAGTCCATTGAGAAAAGCTTAAAGACTATCAAACTACGACATGACATCAACTGTATCAGAGAGGGTACTTCGTATTTCGATTTCCACAACTAGAATAATGTAAAACCCAACAAGTTTAGATTAGTTTTCAACTTTCCTATGCTGGAATCTTACAAATGAAAGGTTTATGTTGGTGTTCAGCTCATTAAAGAACCATATACCATGGCTTGTTCCTTTCCAATTTAACTTTCTCCAACAACCGAGAGGAGATAACAAAATTAAAGGTTTACACAACGTGCCCAGAAAAAATTCTACTCTGAAGTCTACAGTTAAATGCAAAACAAAAAATATTTAGTACCATACAGTACAAGAGAGAAAGAGATACCGTGATGTCTGATGTCCACAAAGTCAGGTTGTCACGGAGAAGTTGCATGATCAACGTACTATCTTTGTACGACTCTTCACCCAATGTGTCAAGCTCGGAAATTGCCTCATCAAATGCCTGCCATAGTTAAGCATTTTTCCAAGATCACCAAAGGGAAAGCAGAATAGAGGAATGCAATGCATGAAGGAAAAAAATACATCAGAGTATCCATACACGTCATAACATGAAATAGGGCATAGTACATTAACATTGTAAAACAAGGAAAAAGTAAATTTTAAGGGGTGAACAGTATTGAAAGCAGTATCACAATGGTAAGTTCAGATGATCTTCGAAGAAAAAACACATGAGCGCATTTGATATTATTATATATTTTATGAATTGCATATGCTGTGACTTGTGATATGCATTTTTTAACTTCTCTGCTCAAAAACTGACTTTTCAAAGCAACACAGAATGAGTGGACACAACAGATTCCAGTGAATCAAGACACCGAGGAACTTGAGCACCAGCTGATTAGAAAATCAGACCAATCAACAAAGACTGAAGTCCACACAAGACAACTCAAACAATTTTTAATCCATGAACAATTGAGACATACCAACAACAGCAAGGAATTGAAAAAGACTTTAAAAGGCTTTAGATATACCTGCTTGGCAAGATTACAAGCACGATCTGGTGAGTTAAGGATTTCATAATAGAACACAGAAAAGTTGAGAGCAAGTCCAAGCCTAATAGGGTGGGTGGGGGCCAGGTCAGCAAGAGCAATATCCTGCATCAGATGAACACAAATTTTCAGTTCAGCTACGAAGTAGTAACAAGTACCATTCCATAAGATAAACAACAGTATACATACCTGAGCGGATTTGTAAGCAAGCAAAGTACTCTCTGCAGCATCTTTCCTCTCTGCCCCAGTCTTAAACTCGGCAAGGTACCTGTGGTAATCACCCTTCATTTTAAGGTAAAAGACTTTACTTTCGGGAGATTGAGCAGAAGGGATGAGGTTGGACTCGAGGAGGTTCAAAATCCCATCACAGATCTTGCTGAGTTCGGTCTCAATCTTTCCCTTGTATTCCTTTATAATAGCCACGTGGTCCTCATTGCCTCTGCTCTCCTCCTTCTGCTCAATGGAGGATATAATCCTCCACGAAGCCCTCCTCGCCCCAATCACATTCTTGTACGCCACAGAGAGAAGATTCCTCTCCTCCACAGTCAACTCCTCAACCTCCACAGTCTTCGCTACCTTCTCCATGAACTCAACCATCTCCTCATACCGCTCGGCCTGCTCGGCCAATTTCGCCATGTAAACGTTGTCTTCCCTGGAAGAATCTGCCATTTCTCAGATATGCGAACCTCACCACGTAATCCTGCAATGCAAAATTTCACTACCTAGAATCACATCTTAGTTAATCAGAATTTATTCTAGATCTAAAACTAATTTAAATTTTAACAATTTTGAGTATAGGTTTCCCACTGAATAAACAAAAATACTCCCAATTTTATAATTACTAATTTATTGTACAATAAAGATCAGTTTCGCTATAACTCGATACACAGAAAAATCCGTTTATCGAATTAAACTTTTTTTCCCGTACGAAGAGGAAATTGGACTACATTCAAATAAACGAAATGATATGAAAAAATAAATCTAGGAAACATGAATATAAACAAAATTAGGAGTGAGTGGTGAGACTGAAAACCTAGAAATAGAAGATGCAGATCTGGATGAATGAAACCTAGGATAAACAAAATACAGAAAAAATATAGGCGGAATGGAAACCCTAAAAAGAGATGAAAGTGCGGTGATGAGGTAAGAGAGAGGGGAGAGAACGAACCTGTGAGAGAGAGGATGAAAATGAATAAAGGGGGAAAAGTTGTAAAGATGAAGGCGTTGATATAGGAGAGTAGAGGTCCAATGATAATCTGACACGTGGTGGTTGGCGGAGATTCCGTGGGAAGTGGGACGCGTTGACCGGTGTTGCCGAATGTGAATTAGTAGAGTTGCAGTGGATGAGTAGGGTTGTCTTTGTGGTTTTCTGTACAATAACTTTATAATTATTTTTTTTAAACAAAATTAAAATTTTTAATAGTAAATAAGTGAATAATGGTATATTTTGAATTTTTGTAATTTAATCATATAGTTTTTACTGATATTTTAATACCAAATTATTAGGTTTAATTAAAATTCCTGAACATTTATATTCTTAGTTGGATTGAAGTGGGCCCATTCCGCCTCGCAATTCACGGTAACATACATGGTGCTTTTGTTTTTTTTGTTTTTTATGCCAACTTTTCTTCTGTCTTGCGTGAGTTTTCACTGGACCCAACAAACCACGAGTTACCAGTCATAAAACCGATGCATGTTTCCACAATGTTGCCAGATCTTGTTATTATTAGACTTAATAATAATAATTAATTGAATATTTCTAGTTTTGATTTTCATTCAATTAGGTGATAATGGTTTCTCATTTTATCTCACCATCTTGATCATTTTATTTTCAGGTATTTTTTTCCACACTCACTCTGTATTTCTATAAAAAAAAGAAAGTGGTCGGGTTAGGAGAAATGGATACTTTTAATTAAAGAAAAGTAAAAAAGGTATAATAATGTGATGATGTGACCATACATCCTAAAAAAGTTGTCTAAGAAGTTGTAAAGGAGCGTAGAATTGCGGGTGGTCAAAGAAGAGGTAGAACTTTATTAAAATATCGTCAATTTGTTCTAAGATTATTTATGGCTTTTCATAAATACAGGGAAATGCTTTCCGGTTATTTTAGTTTCTACTATCTTAAATGTCGAATTGTCATGCTATTAACGGAGTGGTCGAGCCTAAGGCTCCATAGATTTACTTTTGATAGGAGATATAGATGAAGCTGACTGGTGAAGAGATGGAAGTAAAAGTACTTTAAAAACACTACTTTAAAATACGTGTGCATAGTATATTTATACTTGTAGGACTTAGGTGCGGTGGGGGTTAGTTAAAGTGAAGTCATTTGTATATTTGTCAACGGTAAATCCTCTCTACAACTTAAATTCGCTTCATTGCTAAATATTTTAAAGCCTCTAGCATAACTAGACGTAAATTCTTGGGCTTTAGGCATAAAGAAATAGCGTTTCACCTCAGAAGTTCATTCGGCCTTAATCACACTTACGTATTAAGAGATGATAAACGGATACCAGTAATTTTATATCTTTTATATTCATAACTATACAATTTTTTATAACTTTTATATTTTAATATAATTTCTTCTATACATTTTTATGATTAAAATATTTTTAGAATATTTGTTATAAATATTTATAGATATCCACGTATATCCGTGTATATTAAAAAAATGAGTACTCGAATAACGAATATTTACACGAATATAGAAATGGTTACAGAGTAAATATTCATCGAGCGGAAAGAGTACTGATTTATCTTTCCCTTTGACATTTTCTTATTGCTTTAGGACTACTGTTCCACATGAAAGGGGAGACACAACTACAAAAATATCACATGTAATTAGAATACGTTGAATGGGTTTATCAGAAAGCCCTCGGCATTTGGTTATGTTCACTGCTAAGTCCTATGCTATCCCCTTCACAGTTATGCTGAAGTTTTCTAATTTCAACTGATCATGAAACTCGGATAGAGAACATGATTTGAGTTTCGTAGCTCTATACCTCTCATGTTCTAATTATCTTTGTCGTTCTAATTTAACCAAACCAGATGCAATTTCAACTGTCTCTTAAGGGAGGAGAAAAAGTGAGATCATGGATATATCTACTCTTGATTCCCTTATTTTACACGTATTTTCATTTTGGAAGAGCCAAATACCCAATGAAGCTACTTTATCTTCTAGATAATTTAGGCATATTACAAAGTTTACATTTTCTCCAAAAGGTAGAAGGTGATAGAGTAAGGCCAAGCCGCAGTTCAAGTAAATCCAAAAAACTCAACAAAATATGCTTAAAACATATCAGTCTTCAGCTAGCAGTGCCTAGTACGATACTCTAAAAATCATTCATGGGCAACACGAATGACTTGCTTACCCACATTCTTGCCATGAAAAAGTCCAACGAAAGCAGATGGAGCACTTTCCAAGCCTTCATTCATGTCTTCAATGTACACAATCTTTCCCTGCTTGTAATAATTTGAGACGTCTTCCAAAAAGCGCGGGTATAGATGCAAGTAATCACTTTGCAAAAAACCCTGCATTCTGATGCGCCTTGAGATGAGGTTGAATAAATTGTATATTCCTTTGGGCTTGGAAAGGCTTTGCTGAGATACCATCCCACAAACTGCAATTCTACCATGAATCCTCATGTTAAGGAGAGCAGCATCAAGCATGTCCCCACCCACATTGTCAAAGTAGATGTCAATGCCTTGTGGAAAATACCTGTCATGTAAGCCAGGATAAATGATGTCTGGAATTTTGAATGTCAGTGTCATGAAGGATAACTAACCAGTGAGAAGTAGAAATAATTGGAATCTTATTTCTCAAGAAAATTTCTAAAAAACCATTTTTGTTTCCGTAGACAATAGCCATTCAATTTTATGTTCCCGAGACTGTTACCAACCTTTGTAGAGCCGCATTCAGGTCTAACTCTTCTTTGTAGTTAAAAGCTTCATCGAATCCAAGCTTATTCTTTAGAAGGTCAACCTAATACGACAAATTCAATAAGAAAATGAACAAAATACTAGGTTCAAATACTGTCTGTGTGCATCGATGTTTCTAAAAGTCAATACTTGATCTATTGTGTTCATGAAGGAACTACTAATTCAAGCATTCAGTTTTACTTTTGGCAATCATTAGTGAAACTGACCTTTTCCTTTGATCCAGCACTTCCAACGACATAGCAACCGTGCATCTTTGCAAGTTGGCCTACAAGCTGACCTACCGCACCAGATGCTGCAGATACAAAAACATATTCTCCTTTGGTTGGGCTGCAAACCTCAAAAAATCCTGCATATGCAGTAAAACCTGGCATTCCTATAAAGTTAAAAGAAAAAATGAATGGTTAATTATTTATCAAACCAGAGCACCAGTAGAGGAATGGAAAGTGATTTCATCTCCATACGTAAGTCAAAGAAAGATAAACACCGAGCCTGAATGTTTAAAGGATTTACATGTTCATAACAACTGTGCCAAAAAAAGGCATAATTGGATAAAAATACGGAACTCTCTAAAATTAGAGGATTCCTTCCAACCGCAGTATCTGAAAATAATGACTAAACTTAAAATGAAGGAATCCTACTTTATCAATTAGTGACTATAATGTTCAACAACAGAGTGAATCTATAGGTACAAAGGAACTATCAACACTTTCAGTAACCTAAAAACCAAATCTAGTGGCACTTGGTTATGAATGAGGGCGATGTTTGGCCTAAAATCCGGAAAAAAAAGGAAGTTACACACAGCAGCGTATTCTATTCTGTTATAATACATAGAGGAGCCACACACAGACAATGGATGAAGCTAGTTATGATCTAGTCAAAGTGGAGTGAGGAGAGGGGGAGATCAATCTGGTTAATTTTTGGTTGTAGGTTGGGAAAAGAGGATTTTCCAAGTTCGTGGGTAGAGAGGGTTACCTGTTTCTCAGTCTAATTCTTCCACTGTTTCTGCACTTTTTCTCATCAGTAATACTAACATTTTTGTTTGGTCTATCATCCTTAAAACTATTGAACACAACACAAAACTAAATATTTTAAACAATAACAAAATAAATTTGAAGACAAACAAAACTAGCATCGGTTCAGTTTATTAAAAGAATCCCATAACAGTGGTGGATTTTTCTCTCAGTATAGCTGTGAAACAGGTTTCAGAACATTGTTCATAAACAAATAGATAAAGAAAACAATAGAAAGAGTAAAATTATAAAGAAGGAATTGAATAAAGAGCTTGTGGGAATTAAAACTCACACGTCAATGTGGAACTCAAATTAACCGTTAGATTCTTGACAATCTAACTCTGAAATATGAGTTCCTTCCAATTAGTATATTACTCTTTGAGCATAAACATTTTTAACCACGAGTACCAAATTTTCGATACAAGATCCAATCTATATTGTACTCATCCAAACAAGCCACCAAGACAAACAAATCATCAGCATACAAAGGAGATTTGATACCAACTAATAACGAGACAACTCATATAAGAGATTACGACGCCGTCTCTAAATAAAAAATCTAAACATAATGAGTTTGTGGGTTTTATTTCCTTGTATATTGTTTATTTTTCTCATTCTTACTCAAAGTGAAATTCAAACTCACGCTTGAAATCCTAACAATCTTCCCTTCAAGTGTGCATTTCTTCGAAATTGGTACCCTTACCCTCAAACAACAATGGTGACCTACATTTAACACCGTTTAACTACAGCGGGACACAAGAATCCTCAAATCTAGGATTTTTCATGACATTGTTAAAGGGGAAATAATTGCAGATAGCATCAATTATTCCTAAGATTGCCCAAGTCAGAATTGAAAACTCAAATTCCTAGTAGGAAAATTGTTGAGAAGGAAAATCTTGCAAATTGCATCAATTGTCCTACTAGGATAGGTGAGCCAAATAACAATCGAGAAATTTGAATCCTAGTGAGACAATTATCGAAGGAAAAATTGTTTTATAGTGCATCAATTGTCTCACACTTAGCTTAAGATGGGCCAAGTCACAATCAATATAGTGAAGTTTGCACTATTATGCTCTTATACTAATAACTAACAATGAACTCATAAATCATATCCAGAAGCACAAGCACATATTATAAGATATAAATCCAAATAGCAAACAAAATAACGAAAGAAGCATGTGCCGGTAAGTCGATAGTAAAGATTGAGGGGAGCCACATACCAAGAAGACCAACATGGAAGGAGAGAGGAATGCGATCATCAGGCTGAATTTTTCTGAGCTGCTGTGTTCTCTGGATGAGGCTATACTCTTCCCAGCCAGTGAACCCGGTAATCAAATCACCAGGCTTGTAATCTAGATGATCAGAGTGTATAACTTTAGACACACCAAATCCTTCAAGTGCCTTCGTCAAAACACACAGGAATCAGCTATTCACTGTATCACATGGCATCACAGTATAACAGAATTAAAGCAGCTAGTAGTTTGTAACCTGGCCAGGGACAAAAGGAGGGATATAAGATCCGTGGAAATCACGCATGCGACCTCGCATGTATGGATCGCAAGAGAGATAAAGGTTCTTCACGAGAATTGCTGCCGAGCCTTGCGGCGGAGGGTTGAGCTCAATGTTTGAAAGCTTGAGTTCCATATCGGTTTCTTTGGGAACATCATCTATGTAGCCTTTGAACGTAACCTTCTTGTTTTGCACTACTTCTTCTGACATGATGGGATTAGATCTAATCCAACTGAAATGCGCTTTTCAAGAGGAGAAGAGACTACTAGAACTGAAAGTTCTGTCAAAGTTCAACAATGGAAAATGTTCGTTTGAATCATGACACGTGCACCTAATTAACTCATCCTCCGAGTAGCTAGATTTGCGACGCGTGTTCCGATGCCGCTGTCTTCTTCATTCTACCTACCACCCTTCACGCCTGTCACTTGTTGACCTTTCTAATCGCCATTCTAATGGAATCGTGTAAGACCAGCAAAACTATAGTGTTTGTTTGGTTTGGAACATCAGTACAATGTAAATATATGTTTTTTCTATTACATTTTTATTGATTATTAAAAATTAGAATTGCGTAGTTTTTTAATTTTCAGTAATTTTGGTTAATGATATATATTTTTGTTATAAATATGTATTTCCACTATTTTTTTTATTTAACAAGATTGATATTTTTTTTACAAATAGTAATAAAGTATGTTGTCGATAAACATTTTTCATTTGTACTTAAAATTCATTTTATAATCCTAATTCAGATTATTCATCTCCTATTATTTATTTACAAATTGATGGGATTCTCATTTTTGGCAAAATCTTATTTTATACATAAAACTTGAAAACAAATCTTTACTTAAAGAAAAAAGGACATACTTGGAGAATAGGCAAGGTGAATGATGCGTCCCCATCTATAGTTTGCGATCAAGTTCATATAGTTGTAAAAAGAATACATTGGTATTTAATTAAAAATTATTTCAAATCTAGTTTAAACGTGACCATTAAAATTCAATAATTATAGACAACAATTTTAATTACATAATAGTGTAAAATAAATTACAGTGTCAGTGGATTTTACTTAAATTATATATATATATATATATATATATATATATATATATATATATATATATATATATATATATATTCAAAAAAAGTTGTAAACATAAACTTGAGGTATCTCTTAATTCTATAATTAGTAATATAAAAATATAAAAATAACTCACATTATCAATATATTTTAATTAAATTATATGCGTGCTAAAAAAGCTAGTAAACATAAATTTGAGGTATCTATTAATAAGAAGTCAATGAATAATTATTTTCTCAACCAATTATAAATTAATTTGAATAAATTGTTATAAAAGTCAACAAAACTTATTAAATATATTAATCCATCGTTAAATAACATAAAATCAATTCTATCCTGTGAATATAAATTATAAAGTGAAAAGGAATACATACTAAACAACAGTATTCAGATTTTTCAGATAATAGGTAGACACAATACATAAGTTTGTTGGGAGCACTTTAAAATCGTAATATATTATAAAGTTGCATGATAGTAAAATTGCTATACGGTTCATGTCAGAAGTCGATGCGAAATATGCCATTTATTCCTACTAATTGCTATTATGCTAAGGATTTACTTTATAGCCAATATTACATGTAGGAATAGTTTTTTTTTTTACATTATGCTAATGCGCATCTCAGGCAGCTGAGTACGTCCAACTTCAAAAATGAAAATATTGCTTCAACTATTTGAATTCAATGCCATTCACGTTTCATACAAAATTATAAAGGAGACGTCCTGAGACTTAGGTTGCTGGTTAAAACAAGCAACTTTCTGAGGTAAAAGCATTCTCTCAACTAATTTTCTACAAAATAGATTTTGCTTACAAATTTCAAAAGGATCCCAAAATTCTTTTTCCACAATACACTTACATGATTAAATCATTGCAATAAACAATAAACTAGGAAAAAACAAAACCAAGAAACTTTTTCTTTATAACAGATTAAAACAAGTGAGTCATAACAATCCCAATCAATACTGCTGGCACCTCCAAATATAGAAAATATTCATCAGTTTGCGGCACACCATATCCAAAAGAGAAGGCTTCTAGAACATCTAAGTTGGCTTCCTCATATTACGCCCAGCACGAATCACTTCATCCACCACCAGTAACTGAGATACTATAACTGGCCTGTATAGCATCAAGAGACGAAGACATAACTACGTAATAGTAATCATGCTTACTTAAATTAAACTTATTGTTTTTGGCGTAATGGAAGTTTTCAAATAGCTATACATCCTGATTGTGTTTAACTTAGTGTAACAGTTCTACCAACTAAAATTGACAACAAAACTAGATCTAAGAAAACATGATTTATATCGTTAAACGTCCGTTCTAATAGAGCTGGAGACCTTCAGACCCAGACAAACCTGACCTATACTCCACATCCACAACCCTCATCCATGGAGTTCTTCCTGTTTCTAAATATTCATCTGCATCAGCATTCACTACTGAAGATCACATGCTCTTATCATAGCTCATGACAAGCCATCACCAGAGGGCATCGAGTTGTACGCAGAACTGGTTGAGGAGTCAACACTTAAATTCTCTCTTTTCATTTTCCCTTCAAATAAAATTTGTTTCCTCCCTCACTCTCCACCATACCATTAGTAATGACATTTTCTAGTATTTAAGTGTTCCTAATTTAAAAGAAAAAACAAATTAATGATGTCAACAGATCCAGATTCAACCATACCCTGAGTTTATGATTTGGCGTTTCACAGAGTAGTTGTCGAAAATACCCTCCATTGCAGGGTCTATAGGTTCACCTGTATTCAGGCTCAACCCCACAATATTTCCTTTGTCATGCTCTCCCTGAAACACCATTCAGCAAGTACATTAATAATAATAATAATAAAAATAATAATGCTTTCCATTTTGTATGAGAATATCCATACAATCACAATAGAGGAAAGAAGATAAGTGGAATAAGTTTAAGGAAAGTATACCGTAAGGGCAATAATCACATCTTGAGTGTCAAGCCCAGAGTTTTCAGCAAGTGTCTTAGGCACCACAAGAAGCGCATCAGCAAAAGCCTCAACACCAAGTTGTGCACGCTGTTTCAAGCTTATCAACATCAGCGATGAAAATTGAAATATATAACTACAGTTAAACAACAAGAAAAACATGGGAGACAAGAGACACTCGCAATTACCCCTTCAACTGTTTTCTTAACTTCGTTCAACAGATATTGTCTAGCAGCAACTTCAAATGCACCAGCACCCTAATCATGGGAAAGAAAATTCTCCTCAAGTCAATTACAATAACAATACCAACCTTCGCTGAAATCAGAAGTGTTTTTGTACAAAAAGCTTTAAACGATGTGTGCATTCTAGGGAACAACTGAAAATTCATTTGACTAAGAAAATTATCACAGGAAAATGGAGTTAATCTATATGAATATCATGAACATGCACATTACAAAAAAAAAATGTACAATTCAAGTATCAAAATAATTGATTCACATAAAAATGTCTTACCAAGACAACAGATTCATCTCCAAGGGTATTCTTAACGGCCCTCAAACCATCACGTACAGCATCTTTAATCTGAGCTATTGTATGGTCATTTGGACCTGTTTTATCATGACAGAATTGCAAATCTTAAATCAACTACTGGCAATAAAATGACAGTTTGTTCAGATGTCAGAGAAAAAGTAATAAATAGTACAGAAGGATATGTTCAAGAAACCCAGAATACGTGCAAGGGAAATTTACCTTTAATCAAGATTGTGCAGGAAAAAGGATTCTTAACATTTTCAATGAATGTATATTTCTCTTCCCCAAGGACATGTTCATATACCAAACCTGCCCAACCCAGACATTCAGGAGTCAAATCATCTACCGAGTTTACTGCCTCTCCTCCACAGGCCAAAACCAGTCTTTCCATGTTTCTTCTCTTTGCTCTCCGTAGGGCAATTATCTAAACACAAGGTCAAAAAACAAGCAGATATAAAACAGGATAGGGATTATGTAACTGATGACAGCTCATGAGACGAGTTCACCTCATACTACATTAGCAACATGCAATTAGTGTCATGGGATATTTAACATCACAAACATTATATAATCAAAACATACAAACGTCTTCTATGATCCCTCAATGGCTTTCGCTCATAAAAAAATTAGCCTCTGATATCTTTTAGATTCTTCACTTAATCAGTTCATATTCCTAGTATAAAATATTTCTTGCAAAACCAACAGGCAGTATTTCAATACAAAATATCTTCAAACTTCATGGATAAACAATCTAACATATTAGACCACACTATAGCATGGTCATTATTTATTGGAATGTTTCAGACATTTCAAACTGGCTTTTTCTTCCTTCAACCAATAAAAGAAAAATGATGCGAATGCAGCTCATATATTACAGACACTCAGTACTGGTCATTTTCAGCATATTTCTGCATCATCACCTAAATAATTGGAGTGAAATAAAATTTCCAGGAGTATTTATCATCATGTGGCCATCTTCCTAATATTTAAGTTTTAAAAAACCAGAATACAATGGTATGTTACTTACTCCTTCCCTTGCAAGGAGGTCCAGTGATGGAGGATCAATTCCCTTTTGGTTGATGACAACAAAATTGCTATCACTATCAGAACAAACCTGTATACACACATATGAAGTTATTCAGTCAAGAGCAGTCAAATAAAATTGAGCTATTACTGAGAGATAATCCAGACAAAGGGCGGTTCCAGCTGTAATCCAGAAACGATTATTATCTCTATCTAACAGAAACGTGAAATGGCATTATTATCTTATTAGCAATATAACAGACCAGATTAACATGTAAAAATCAATAAATACAAGGAATAAAACTTCATTACCTTATTCTTCAGTTCAATGATTTTCTTAACTCTCTCATCAACCTGCCTTCTTTCAGCAGAAACCATAGCCTCTCTCTGTTCCGCACTTGAGTAGAAAAAACCTGCATTTACCTCACTGGGAGGAGAAAACATTGGCTTCATTACTATAGCAGACATCAAAGATAGTTCATATAGGCCAGGCATCTGATAATGAAAAACCACACAATGTGTATACATTATTGGCTTAAGTGATATAACAGTTGACAAATAGTGCTTAGATGGTTGAAACTATTAAGTTTATCATTACATTAAAAAACAGATTTCCCTAGTAGTAATAAATGTGAGCTTGGTTTGTTTTAAGGTTAAAACCAGTCTTTTTAGAAAAACAAAACAGGTAATTCAGATCAAAAGACAATTGAAGTGACAGTACCTAATTTTATTGTAGCAAATGAAAACTTTACTTCCTTCATGCTAACTAAGCCATCCTAATAAAACAGATTAAAAACCAACACCGATGGTAACATTTCATGCAATGTGAACTTACTCATTTTACTATACAACATAACCAATATTGTGTCTGAAGTAAAAGACACA